AGCAAAGGGTATCCAGATACATGCTTGGTATTAACATAATCATGAGGAAGAGGAGATCTGCAACATTAATATACTTGGATGTTAAATTCAACCCCTAAAAAGAAAGCATTGATAAAGCAAAGTTTGTACAAATCCTAAATGAACAAGAAGTGCATCAATCTGAAGCAAAGTATATAAAATTTGCATTTCTAACAATCTGTGTTAAACAGAAATTTTGTTTCCAAAACCATACTTGCATCTTTCTTCTTTAACAACAAAATGTGACCAGCAAGGGACTGTTCTATTAATCTGCCATTGTTGATCCCATGTTGTTGTCGTATGTGCTGATGGATTCAGTGAACCAAGCATCCACAAGTTGTTATAGTAAATCTCAACATTCTTGGCGATTTTCGGACAGTCAGCAATATAGATACCAGCTTCTTTAACCTATTAAGATTCAGATACAATGCAACAATAGCATGTCATATGTGACATATATGCAAAAGTTGGAACAGTTTGACAAGTCGGAAGGTTTAAATAAGCCAAACGATTTATAAAGAGAATACTATTATGAATTGGCATTTCGGAAGAGCATAATAGGAAGTACAATATACTTATGCTAGTATTGTATCTTGAGGAGGAAGAAAAGTGAGTGAGTCAGAGGAGTAATGCTATTAAATAAGAGAAAATTAGGACGAGATTGTTATGGAGAATATTGTGTGGAGTTTAGTAAGCTCTTGGGAGTGATCAAGCCTTTCGAATGCTTAAAATCTATCATCTATTTTCTGTAACTCCCTTAATATCAATCAAAATCTTTCTTTCTTTATTTCTTTATATTCAGCCACAGTTATGTTAATTCATACGAGTAACAAACACCTGTGTGAGCGATTTCCAGTCATTATTGGCAGATCCAATGTATACATCACGTTCATCTGATATCCAAACTTTAGCATGGACTATGCCAGACCCCCACCAATTGCCAAGCATTAGTGTAACATTCTCGACATTTGGTCTTCCTGCCGCAAGATCAGATGGCTCTTTGGTATAATCAGGATACACACCTGAGTGCTGCAAAAGCCTATAATGGATTACATATAGCAAGGTACCCAAAAAACAGTTCACTAAAAATGTAATTTGCATTGTTCTACAAGAACAAGGTAAATCAAATCTATACCTGACTTTGACATTGCGTTCAGCAGCATTTTCAATGGCTTTATATATACTTAAACCTTCTTTAGCACCAAATCTATCCATTTCTTCTTCTGAGTACCCATAATCCCCTGAAAGAGGATTATCTGGTCCAGCAACCAATTGCCAGTATTGTGCCATTATATCCAGCTTTTTAGTTGAATTACCAGCCAGCCACTGGAAGACATCAGCTGACAAGTGCATAAAATTTGTTGTTGTAAGCAAAATCAAAGGTCAAAAGTCAAAATTGATCTGGATTCTGGACATCCCTAGATCATTGCAAAATTAGAGACTGGATATGGGTGCTACACAGCTCACAATTACTTGTGCTTCATAAAGAGAAAGTGGAATACAATGTGCTACACTGAGCACTGATCATGCATTGCTAACAGTAAGCAATATACTTTATGAAATGCAGTAATCCATACCAAATGTCAATCAACTAAATCAAAGGAAAAATCATCAAGACGTTACTACTGCTCAAGCTCACCTCCAAAGCTTCACAATAACAACTAAACTTCGGAGAATCAAAAACGTGTACAGAGAGAACAAATAAACAAAATAGGATACTTCTATCTGGTAGTCAGCCTAAAAACAAAGTCCTAAAACATAACTGACAGCTGAAAATTCGATACTGAGCAACAGTGATACCCAATTCACTCACCCCCTTCCCTCCTCCGAAAAACAACAATAATTTGGAAATTGGTATGTAATACATGGTAAACTAGTGGACTAACCGAACAAAACAAGGTAGCAAATCACATTCCTGTACCCGTTTTATGTTACAGAACATACTGCGTTCCAACACTAAACACTGATAAGCACCCTTGCAAAAAAAGAGCATTTTTCCAAATTCACAAGCTAGCTGCGCTTGGCAATTAGTCCAAATCAACTTCATTACACACAAAACTCCAATAATAAGCTTAACACTGCCTAAAAAATGCTTTTTTGTCTAATTTCTTTGTTTTTGGTCCAATGCAAAAGGCTTAAGTTGATATAGGCAAATGCCTCCTCCATTGATCAGACTACTAATAAAATGTAGTTCGTATAAAGTATAAACCTTCATTTTTAAGTAATAAGATTGACATTTATCACATCAGCAATCAACTGGGCTTTTCCCTTTGGCAGCAACATACTTTTACACATTCTCATTGGTAACAAATTATATTCAGAAATCTCTTAATTAGCATTAGCTTTATACTTGTTCTCCAATCTAGCAATATGTGCAATAGTATATTGCTACCAAAGTGAAAAAAATTGCCAATGAGAATGTGCAAAACTAATGCTATAGGCATAATTTCCAAATCAACAAAGACAAAAACAGTGGGATTAATGTTATTTATGACAAAATCAGAAGAAACACAATAAACTAGACCAAGTAAAAGGTTTTGCTATCTATAGTCTCAATATTTCGGAATTCATGACAAAATCATGTGTCAATCAGTATTTCAAATTTTATACTTAGCCCTTAACGCTACATATATCATTATCCGGGGAGAACATTAACGCATTTAGAAATAATAGAATGATAAGATATATACCAGTAGAAAGAACACCAGGAACGAGAGATAGATGAGGCATGTCAGTGGGAATTGATTGAACCAGCCAAGCCTTACACTCTTCCTTCGCCATAGCAGTTGATGAGGAGAGATAAAATAGGGCAAACAAGAAAACCCCAACTGAAATTAACGCTGAAAACTTCATCTTTTTCAAAATTGAATTCATACCCACTTCAATTCAATGGGTTTTCTCTTCTGGGTTAAGCTCAGATTAACTGGAAGTCTGGAAATCGAGTTGAAAGCTTGAAAATTGGATTTTGATTGATAAGAGAGAGAATGGGGGAATTTTTTGGGAGAAAATCCAAATATAATTTGGATATTCGTTTGAAATTGATGACGAAGGTCCTGAGAAAATTCAATCTACTATTTGACGTGCAGTTGTAGATTCCAATTTTCCCGGGTTTTTATGAGTTGAATAAAAAGAAATGGAGTAAAAATAGGAGGAAAATGAACTAGGTTTTTTTTTTTTTTTTTTTTTTAAGGAAGATATGTATAAAGGATGGTGTTGTTGACAATGTTGAGCATGACCCTAAAGTTTACGGATCCACTTTGTTAGGCTTAACCCAATAATAAGCGTGGGTTAATAGATGATCAAGTGCTTATCCACGATGAGAGTGGAAGATTATTTGTGATTAAAAATTAGGAAAGTGAGAAAATAGGACGCTATGGATCGTGAATTCGTGATGAAGTCATTAGAATGACCAAAATCAAAGTTATGCTATGGAATAAAGAATTGCCACGTGAAACATGTATGAGAAATTAGTAAAAAAAAATAGTATGTCATTAGTAAAAGACAAACAAAAGCTTGGTGTTGCAATAACCATATTATTTTTGAGTTATATATATTTAATATGCTGTAAGATGGTGTAAAAAAGATGGAAAAAATAATATGTACATGATAAAGGAAGAAAAAATAATGACCAAAGTTTCTTGGTAACAGGGGAGGATACAGCTTGTACTAAGGGTATGCCTTTGTAGCCTTTTAACAATAAATTAAGTGTAGTTTGTTGGTTATCCAAGTGCTTTTAAGCTTTCTTGAAATTTAACTCTAGTCTAGAGTTCAAATCCCATCGTTACACAAACGCATTGAAACTTTAAAAGCACTCATTTTCAAGGCATACAATTATAAAAGAAGTTTTGGAGATAGGATTCAAAATCCGTTGATGAAAGCTTTCATAAAATAGCTCGTAATTTAGACATGTCATCACACTATTGCTCAAATGAATCATAAAAGAAAATATCTATAAATGTCAACCATTTTAATTGGTTAAACTCTTATGGTGATATTGAAAACATGAAAATAACTCTCTTCTAAAATATCGGCACATCGACATTGCAATCATTAGGAGCCACATGCCCACCACCATCTTACCAAAGAGCCATAACAAATTCCAAATCTTTTTCAAGTTAAGTGTAAAATCTCTTAGACCTAAAAAATTAACCTTGTGTTTACATTGTAAGGTTGGCCTAGACTTAGAACAAGGAATCTAGATACGGATTAATTTGCCTTGTGGAATGAAGACATGCAAGTCTATGACACAATCTACAATTGATTCATGTTCAACTAGGATTCTTTCCAACCAAATTAAAGTTATAATCACTATATAAAAATGCTACACATGCATTATTAAAGCTATGCATTATTACATTGTACCAAATCTAAAATTCTACAACATAAAAAAGAAAAACTTGTGGGACCACCATGTATCCTCATTCCTCTACATATATTGGTGTCCACATGTACATTAATCAAAACTCCTCTCTTTTAATCTCCGTAACTAGTGTGTACCCCGGGCGATGCCCTGAATTGCTAGTTTGTGTATTTCTTTAATTTAATAATTATGTTCGACTATTTATAGTTAGTGTGTGTAGTGGTTCGGGCATTGCCTCGAGTGTCACTTTTATTTTTACATCATATGCACTTATTCTAATTTACTTAATAAATGAAAGAAATATATAATATTATGTGAAATTTGAAACATTAATAAAAGATGGTTGAGATGATAAATGTATTACCTATATGTATTGGGGGTTATGTGTTCAAATTTTGTTCAAAGCATATTTTATTTTACTTAAATGAAGTAGCTAGCTTGCGTAGCGCATATACTTTGGACAGTAGCGTGGCATTATGACATGGCACATATACTTTGAAGAGTGTCACGTGACACCGTTCCTTTAAAAGGAACGCCTTTTAATATATAGTATAGATATGGCTAGCTTCTTATTAATCATACAAAACCCTAAAATCACTTCTTAGCCCATTTTTCTATGATTTAAGAGAAAATATTAGATTAAACAATAATTAATTAGGACCTAAGTTGGTCGAGTAGCATGAAGGACACTTACAAAAGGAACTGGTTACATTTTCTGCACTTAATTAGCGCCTTTTTGTTAGCAGATAAATCACATCAACTTCCCTAATTACTTAAACACTACACCCATAACCTACTAAGTACAACAACAGAAAAAAGAAGTTAATTCTACCACATTTTATACACTAATAGACCATCAAATCTAATAGCTCTCCTCGCTTCCTTTAAGAGACAGAATGCCTCCTGTGTCGTGAACTTGAACCAGACGACTTTGTATCACCAGGAACCAATGAAGTAGTTGGTGACTGAGAACTTCCGCTTGTCTCTGAGCTCTTGCTCTCCCCATTCCCCTTACCCATACCCCATAACTTATCGAATATCCTCCTTGATCGAGAAGGAACAAGCTGTGCCCCACTCCGGCTGTTTTTACTACTGTTTTTCTTGGCCATCATTTTCCCATTTCTTTGTACTTCTTCATTGTCCTCGATCTTCACTTTGTCAATCTGTTTCCTCAGCGATTTACAGCTTTCTAGGGTTCTCTGATCCCAATCTTCTTCTTCATTTGGTGTGGAAGATGAAGTGATGTTGGAAGTTCTGTTTAGGGATTGAGTTGTACTCGCTGACCTCATCTGCTCGAAGTACAAAACTTGGACTACAACTCGAAGAGGAAGCCGGTCGTTTTGAGCAGCATGAGTTGATGCATCCATGGTAAACTTCTTAACATCCATTAGCCCGCATATTTGCTTCTTCTCCGCTTTAGTCAAGTCTGGATGCTCCTGAAAACATCATGAACATAACAAATTATATCAGCTAAGATACTAACAATTTAACTTAACAAAACCTTTTAGTAAGACGTGATATAAAATAAGGACAAGCCCAAAGTTTGCTAGTGAACAAAATTGACATGATAACAGCAATATTGATATGATACAAGCCAATTGCAGTTAAAAAAAAATAAAAAATAAAAATTATACTTACCTTTAAGTACATATCAATAGCCCTGTACAATCCATCATGGATTGGTCTTGCAGACTCAGGTATCAATCTCGCCAGTTCAATGAAGCTTGAAGGGGCCAAACATGGATCTGAAGCAATTTCAGCAAGATAAGCATCAACCAGTCCACCAACATTTAACAAGGATCCACGGTCTAGAGCTAACTCTGACTCGCCCTTCTCATTGTTCTCGTAAATATTCAGTTCCCAACAGCTTTTTTCTTGCAGCACGAATCTTTTCACAATGCACAAAACCAGTTCGACATCATAAACTGTAGGTTGGGGAGGCCTTGCTGGGATTAAGAGGTCCTTTACTGTTGCCTGATCAAGTTTCAGGCTAATTTTTCTCACCAAGTCTTCCCTAGCGGCAACCTCTGCTTCAACTAGAACGGCAACTTTTAACAGCTTAAACAAGAAGCTACAAGAACAACCCAATGATCTATCAGGTGGTAACAAGCATATGATTGTTTCCACCAACGACTTGTTTCTTTGGATATGATCATCGGAAACCAAAGCATCAAGAGAATCTGGCAACCATCTGATGGCATACATCTTTAGAGCTTCTCCGATCACAGAACCATCCATTCTTCCCTTTGACTTTATAGCAATCAAAACTCGCTTATACAGATTGATATCTAATTCACATAAATCCTCAACCCACCAGTCTTTGGGAACTGATTCAACTGCCTCATGCTCGATGATTCTGTCTTGCATTGCTAATTTTCTGTTATGTGTGTAAGACCAAGTGATTTTCGAAGGGTCCACTGAGGTCTTGGATGCAATAGAGTCTATGCATCTCCCAATAATCTTCAAATCTTCAGACCATGGTAAAAGAGGTTTAGAGTTTTGAAGCACAATGATTGAATCTTTCCAAGTACGAAAGATACTGGAATTGAGAAAAACCTCTATCTTGTATATAAGATTTCCTCGATCAACATCTTCAGTCATCTCAAGGTACTCCGCAGCACAACGTGCAGCAACAACATTATAAGCATTGAGAGTAACAGTCATCCCATAGCAGAATTTGGCACATATATCAAAAGCTTTTGGCCCTCCAGGAAAGTCGGGCAAATGAATTTCATCGCTCTTTTCTTCATCTGCTCTCACTATAAGCTTTTGCAGGCGGCTGCTCTTTGATAGAAGAGGAAACTGTAGAAATCCATGGTGGAGCATAAAAATAATATACAGATGAGCTTGATTATATATAAGTCAAAAGTCCTATTTGGAAAAATAATTTCAATGAATAGAATGATGGAAAAGACTTTTCAGTATCCAATATAGTGGCTGGGAAATGACAAGGCTACGAACACTCATTTCAAGTTGAACATTCATCAGAATAGGCAAATTGGAAAGGAAGGGCATCCGTCCCCAATCATGAATTTATTCAAAAAACGAAGCATCATATAAAGCAACCTCTCAAACGCACACACACAAAGAAATGGAGTTGGCTTGGATGACTGATTACACAGTAGGGCGTTTTAAGTCCGAAATAAAGGAAAAGGTGTCTAATTAATCAATTTAATTCAAAGTTTTGAAAGCCTAAGAGAAATCATGGTTTTCTGAAACAGAACAAAGAGAAGAGCAAAAGAAAAAAGATCACACATGTATATGAACCCAAACTAATAAAGAATAATGTAGAGTTCATACCTTGTGAAGGTAAAACTTCACCTCACCCACAGTTACAGCAACATCAGTGGCAAGGTCAGAGGAGACATATCTGCAAAGATGGATAATGAATAAAAGTTAGCGCAGAAATTTCAATCTACTAAGAGTTTTAGACCACCACACTTTACACAAAGCCAATTAATAAAGAAATCCCATACTAACTTTTATTTCCCATCCAACTAAGTCACATTAGTTTGAGGCAAGAGTTGCAAGACTGCTAATTTAATGAAATATAGAAATCAAAATAACAAAATATTATTTGCGCTCAATTACTCCCTGTCCTAAAATGAACATCACACTTGAGATTGGCATGAAAAAAAGGAAAGGTTGTTAAGTACGGAATGTGGTGTATAGAGAACTTAGAGAAGTAAATAGGTAAAGTTCAGAATAGCAGAGAAATGGTAATAGTGAGTGTAAGAAAATTGTACAGTTGTTTTCGGGACCTCTATTGTAAATGTCCTAGTACTTAAAAAAAGAATTATTTAGTAGATAGTCCAAAATGAAAAATGTGAAGTTCATGTGGGTACCAAAAGAGTAATAATCAAGGCATTAATCCATAAACATTCAAATACACAACATTATAAGACTATGTGTATCGTCAAACACTTCCCAAAATAAAAAAAAAAAAGAAAAAGTACATCGACAAACAAATTACTGCACCCAAAAACTAAAGTTGCAGTCATACTTGGGCAATCCATCCAGAAGACAAAATACCAGGACATCCCAAAAACATTATTTGAGCAACAAAACAACCAACATTAAGTTTTGAACCAGCAAGGTTGTGGTTATCCATACCAAACGTCCCACCACCAATGACAAAACCATTTACCATACCCCATAATGTTCAAGAATCCGCAATGTATTGGCTGAAAGACAACTTTATGACAAGGGAAACTAGAAGGGACCGCCCCAGGGTATGTGAAAGCACCTAAATTTAAATCTCTTTACAAGTCTTACAAGAGTTGGTCACTAATTTTCGGACTTCCTCCATTCCTTATTGATGAGCCATAAGGTCAAACCTTGCCAACTTTGACCATCATTATCCAATATATCTAAAGTATTGGATTAAAATAAAATAATCAAAATAAATAAATAAATAAAAATTCGTAATCTAAATGATAAATCCGTAAGATGATTCTAGCAATTCGATTTCACATTAGAAACATTACGTATATGTTACAGTACAATCCTTAGGTTGGTGAAATTTGACCATTAAAGTGGAATTAGGCCCATAATATAGAAGGATAAAAATAAAAAGTTTGTAATCTAATTGATAAATCCGTAAGATGATTCTAGCAATTCGATTTCACATTAGAAACATTACGTATATGTTACAGTGCAATCCTTAGGTTGGTGAAATTTGACCATTAAAGTCAAATTAGGCCCATAATATAGAAGGATAGGTAGCACGTTATACAGTTACATCACATTACAACCATCTACAGGCACACCACCATCCCAAATGTGTGGAATGTAGAACCAGGCCACCTTCATCATTGTTGAGCACTCAGGCTCTCTGCTCTCATATACCCAACCTCAACATCCTCGAGAAAGTGCTAAAGAAAATCCAACTTACTATCATTAGAAAAACAGCTGGTTTACAAAAGTCGCACTCAAAAGAAAATCATCATACATAGTACTAAGCAACATTTCATCTTTTGGTGGAAAGGTGGAAGAAGCAAAGGTCTTAACAACTATTCTTTATCTTTGTGCCAAATTACACCGAGTTGAGATCTTCCATTCGCAACAACTGATGAAGATTATAGATATCTAGAATCAACACTCGCGATGCTACAAGCCACACAGACACACACACACACACAATATGAAAGAAATTAACTAAATCCCCACATTAAACCTGATCTAGTAGCAAAAACAACTAACAAATACAAGATCATATTAACAATCTCTGTTCCAATTTAATCGTTACATAGCTAGTTTGAATCACACTATCAACCCGAAACTAATATCAGGGTGGAGGGGGTCCATTTATGTCCATAAATGCAGCTTTCTTGAAGATAAAGAGTTACATAATCCACAAAAATCAAGAGTAATTATCAAAAAACAACAATTCTATGTCAGCAAATATAAAGAAGTGGGTCTGAAAAATCCAGCCAAATGACAATACAATTGCTTTTGTTTATGGACCACCCATCAACATTCAACACCAACATTCAAGAAAATGTATCAATGACTGGACCACTTCCACAAATTTCACTAAATAAACCAAAAACTAAACTCATGCCTTGATTCACCTGACTCTCTAAAACTCTTTTTCACTCACTTTACTGTCAAATTTTTTTATAATAAGAAAAAGAGTATAATCTGACATTTTACCAAAACAATTCACTAAAATTTCAATGAAAAAAAAAACTAATTTACTGAAATTTATCCCCACAAAATTTTATATACTGGCACTCTAACCAAAACAATTCTCCCCAACATGAAGTTTCTCTATCAGAAGAATATAACAATGCACAAGAAAACACCAACAGTTTATATACAAAAGTTACATATTAGGAAATTACTAGAAACATTGCTTTAATATGAAAACAAGAATTAAATCAACAAAATTGCAATTAACATTGTAATTACCCAAAGGAATGGTAGAAGACTTAGAACATTATTAGAAACATTGCTTTTATATGAAAAAAAACTAGACAGACCGGATATTTCTTCTAAACACGTAACCAAATGTTTTTCTAATAGTTTATCATCGATCCTCTACAGATGTAACAACCGTGTTACACGATATAACAATTGCGATACAAAATCAAACATCAATCATCTAACTTATGATGTTCTAAGATGTAACAAGAAAAATAAGGGGGGAAAAATGTTAGATGATACAAAAACTAACCTGATAGTGCTACCATCAAATTGAAAAGCATCAGGCTTTGAACCCAATTTCATGAACTTCATCTTCACAATCTCAAAAAAATGTCTGTTTTAGCTACCCTTAAAATCAATGAACAAATTTACCCAGAAAATTGTTCACATAAACCCTCTTTCACAAGCAAATCCCCTGCTTTTTTCCCCTGTTTTTTTCCCCTGTTTATTTCTCTCTCTTAACAAGGCTTAAGTTCAACTTCAACCCTTTTTCTTTTCCCCTGTCTTTTTTACTTTCTCTCTCTAAAAACTTCAACCCAGTAAACAAAAACAAAAAACCCAGCTCAATATCTCTCTTTAAAATTATCCAAACCCCAAAAAAAACCTATTCTTTTCTCACCCAAAAAAAGTAATTTATGAAATTAAATTAAATTTTTTGCTACTAACTTTTAACATATGGTGTAATAAATAACATGTCCCCTCAAAACCCATCTCACTATCAGAACCACAACACCACGTATTTAACTCTTAGCCGCCTTTACCATTAATCTTCTCTGCAAATTTCAGAACTTTGGAGAAAAATTTTCTTCTGACCCAGATTTCAAGATCAAATAAAAATCTGATCTTTTTTAGTAAATAAATATTTTTCTGTAATTATAATAATAATGGCTATGAAAATGAAAATTGATCAGTTGTAGTTTGGGTGATGCAAAAAATGGGGTGAATTTTTGTTTTAATTTTTCCCTCCTAAATACTTATATTTACACACGTTTTCCAGAAATGTAGAGAGAGAAAATGTATGGGGAAGAGGAGAGAGAAAGGAAGGAAGGAAGAGTAGGGGGAGAGGTACAGTGTGTGTATATTTACAGTGTGTTTCAGAGGAGAGAGAGAGAGAGATGGGCTTTTTTAGGGAGCTTTTCCTGCAGTTAAAGCACGCCAGTTGTGGTTGTACTATTTTGCCCTTTACTCCTTGATGCAATTTTGGTTGCAAAGAGTAATCCGTAATCTAGAGTCTATTAGACTCCGACTAACATAGTTATGACTTATGATTCGATACAAACTTGAGTTAAGTATTGGTGTGTTGCTTCATTTTGTGGTTTCGGAAATTAGAATTCTACTCCTTATTCTTTACTCCATAATGAAGCTGATCCGAGCACTTGTTGGTATTTTCACATCAATTTTGTTGTGGAGGGTATATGGTATTTCGAAGCATGTTAGTGTAGCTAATCCAAATACAAAGTAAACAATTTGACCTCTTTTACAATATACGCAAAATTCACTAAAAATAACAAAGAAAATAGTTTTAATTAAAGTACATTAAAAACATAAATTGTCTAAGATATGTACTAACATATGTGTCGATTAAGTTATTACATTTAGCAGAAAATTTATAAAGCGCGGAACAAGTGTTGTTACTTTTAAAAGGAACATGACCAAACAACAAACCTATAACAAAAAGGTTGTTCTAATTAAAATGGAACAATTAAGTACAAGGTGATTCAATCGCTTGTTAGTATGTTGATGCCAATTTAGTTTAACCCGTTGGTTTTGGATGTGAAGCTTATCAACATCCCATGTGTTGTTTGACCCGATTTAGGGAGCTGTCTTTCTTCTTTTTTTGACTTTAAATTTTAAGGAATATGAAGGAGTTCATATTTAATACGGAGTAAATTTTAGCGTTGTTAATTTAATATGTTTAATTGCATTATATTTGACTTATGACCTAATTAGCGTCTTGCGTTGACTTTGGGTATCTAGCATAATTTTGTAGTGCCATTATTTGTGAGGTCTTTATGCAAGAATAATTAGCGAAAAAGGAGACAGGTTTTTGGTGAGATGTATATGTGAAATTGTGAAATTGTGAAATAGGGCGTTGTTCTCTTTTACTAAAACACTTCAATATTCCATTCCATTAAATCTTGTCTTTATTTTTTGGTAAAAATAAATTAAAATAAAATAAAAACATTAGTCAGTAATCACTCTTCAATTCAATGACCACTTTTGATTTTCACATTTTAATAAACTTGAGTAATTTTTAGAGTTTTGTGTTGTCAAGATGGTAATATTATCAAATGCATTATGTAAGTTAGATGTTGATATGAATTATCTTAAATTAGTTATAGTATTAGTAATTGTAATAAAGAATTGAGATCGAATAAAGTCTACATTTTGTCGGCTCTATATACTTATAAGTGAAATATATGTACTACGTAGTTAAATACTTATATGGTTTAGACCGTTTAGCAAAAACAACCATGATATGCTGAGTTCACTTCCACCAACTAAATTAATGTTAAGCTAGTCGAAAATCTACTTGCAAAACTTTTTGTCTATACCAAATACTCACATGTTTTACTAGTTGAATCGAATAAACTTATTTTCATTAGCCGTTAAATTTTATAAATAAAGCTAACTAAAGTCAACCAAAAAGATAAATTACCAATAAAGGCCAAAAAACTTTGGTGTATGTAATGGAAAATTTCCTTAAACAAAAAATATACTCCTACTAGCACTAGTTTAGAGGTGGGAAACATTGATGTCATGAAACGTTATTTCTCATCAGAACACACACTTTTCTCTCTCTTGTAGCTAATGGCTATTCTGGGATTGAAAGGAGAGGACAATCGGCGAAAGCAGCTTTCTTCATCAAGTGTTGTAAATGTAAGTGTAAGTGTAAATGTAAATGTAAGGGTGATGCCATTAAATACGTTTAGCAAGTAACCCAACCAACCCTACTTTGAATTATTTCTACACTATACTACCCTTGATTAATTGAATTCTTTGTTTTATTTTTGGCTTTTTTTTTTTGGTTTGGCCTTTACGTTTTTTGCATGGTCCCAATGTAACATTAATTGGCCAAATTTGATGTAGAGGTCTCATTAATTAATTAGCTTTTAGGTTTGTACCGTTGCTAGTACACTATATCTAGGGGCTAGGGCACTAATGTAAATATGTAATGTGATGTCTTACCTTGCGCTAGCTGTGTAGATAAAGCATATTGGCTAACTAAAAACAAAGTCGATGATGGTTACTTGGTTAGATTGGGTCGGGTCGAATTCAAATGGATAAGTCAAATTATGGGTGTGAACAGGGTTAGTATAATTTATTGCAATTTAGGTTTTGTTCTTCAACTTAATTTTGTTGAACTTTTATTTAATTAGATTGAGTTCAAAGCATATTTTATGCTTCTATTCATTTATTTAAAATTATTCGAACTTGTCTTAATTTATGCAAACTTCTATTCATTTCTTATACCTAGATGCCAATCAACTAATATGAGATATTCTAGAGTTGGGGCTTGTTTACATTTACTGAACTGAGCTGAACTGAACTTGATTAGGGGATTTTTATCCACCAAGCGCCGTTTGACAAGTGGACCAACCAGGTTCCGCCACGCGTCCTCCACGGACCACTTAAGACACGCCACGTGTCCACCCATGCCAAATGGGACAACCGGCCATCAAGGCCCATTTCAGTCTAGAAGCCCGATCGGCCCTAGGTTTACCTTAAACCTAGAGAGTTGCACGCTTCCCAAGGCTATAAATACTCGATTAATCCTCATTAATCAAGGACCGAATACATTACGGAACACACTAATAACCGGCTGATCTCGCTAGCAAAGCAGATTACCTACATTAAATACTCTCACCTAGAGAGACCTTATTACTTTAATTTCTGTATTAATTACTCCTTAATCAGGTACTAACTTGACCGTTGGAGGCGGAGCTCTCAGGAGTCTCCGTTATTTTGCAGGTACAGGCGTCCGGTTCCAGTCTCGGAATTGTAGCTCTCCCGCAGGACATCAGAAAACCCCGAAACATTTGGCGCCGTCTGTGGGGAGAGTACTTCAGAGATGGCATCCAAGTCTGTACCGACCCCAGAAGAGAGGCGTCCCCTAGACGACCCTCAAGTTCAGTCGGACCATGATACCGAGAGTGAATTTGAAGTTGAAACTCATACAGCTCCAGACGGGACCCTAAGGGCCCGCCGTACCCGTCATACTGAAATAAGGGAACGGGAGTATCTTCAAACAGGAAGCGAGCCAGCAGGCGCACCGCTTGCTCGGCAACAGCCGACTGATGGGTCTGCTCCCATCACAAGGAACGAACTCATGACCTTCATGAGGGGATTCAAGGGAGAGATCCAAGAGTTGATCAACAAAAAACCGCCTGCTTCAGTCAAAGAGCAGGCGGCCAAAAAACCTTCCACTTCACTGAAGAGGAAGCCAGTTCAAGGGCGAGAGGCGACTCCCCATCCTAAATCTAAGAAGCGGGAGCCGTCTGCTCTTGATTTCACAAAACTCCGTTATCCTACGGGAAATAGGAAACCGGTTCGTCATATTCAGGCGGATGGGTCAAAGCAAACGTTCACAGATGCTCGGCACCTGCTAGAGCAGAAGAAGAGTGACCGATTATCAGAGTCGGCTTCTACTTCAAATTTTCAGGACAGTTTGCGAAATGCCTCGATGAGGCCAACTCAGTCGTACCATGAGAGTCAGTCAGGCGGCACCTCCCGACAGTCTGGCTTTCATAGTGCGCAGGCGGTACCAAATTTGCCATTTGTGCCGCAACAACAATATTTTATGCAGCCACCTCCATTTGGTGGACCTGCAGCAAAAAACGTCCAACCTATGGACTGGCAGCTACGGCTGCTTAGACTTGGTGAACAGCCGTCGGCCTTCTCCAAGGAAATTACTGAAGCCGCTCAGCCGGCCAAAGTAAAAAATGTTTTAGTAGGCGCCTATGATGGCACTACTAACCCGGAAGACCATCTGATGGCATTCACCAACCTGATGTACCTTCAAGGGTTGGATGATCCCACTTGGTGCAAGTGTTTCCCAGCAACTCTCAAGGGAATTGCACAGCAATGGTTCGGCAACCTGCCGACTGGTTGTGTAAACAGTTTCAGGACGCTTGCTTACTTATTTGCCTCCAACTTTGCAATGAACATCCCTGCGAAGAAAACGACCCTTGATTTGGGAACAATTCAGCAGGGTGAAAAGGAGGGGCTTCGTTCCTACATCAGGCGGTTCAACCTGATGAGAATACAGATTCAAGGGTTACCGGATGAGGTAGCTTATACTGACTTTTTTAGAGGTCTCAAAGACGGGTCTACCTTCAAATTTGATTTAGTTCGAAAAAGGGTGGCGACTCTTCAAGAGGCCTTGATTGAAGCAGAAGCCTATATACAGGCGACTGATCTGTGTACAATGAAACAGTCGGACGGGAAGAGGTTCGACAATAGAGAAGGACGACAGAAACAGTCGTCCAACAAAGATGAAAAAAGAAAAGGGGTCTGGGCGGCTGATTCCTCTAAACAGCCGGCCAAGAAGAAAAAGGAATTCAAACCATACTCCCCAAAGTATGTGTTTAACAAGGATAACCAGTTTATCCTAAAAGAAATAAAGGGACGGCTCTCAATTGAGAAACCGCTCCCCATGAAGGGTTCTGCGAGCAACCGGAACCAAGACAAAATCTGTGCTTATCATGATGACATTGGTCATCACACCAACGACTGCATTAGTCTCATGCGGTACCTAGACCGCTTGGCTGATCAAGGTGATCTTGACACTTATGTCAAGAAATCTACGGGGAATACTTCCTCAAAAAAGCAGTCGGCCAAAAAGAATCAACAGGCCGACAGTTCCGATACAGATGATGCAGTCGTCTACACCATTGCAGGCGGCTTCTCAGGAGGCGGCCCCACTATTAGGGGCAACAAAGATAATATAAGGCGGTTAGATGTAAATTCCGTTCACCAAGAACGACCGTCCAAATATACATTTCCTGAGATTGTCATCACTGAAGAGGATCTAGGAGGAATAAGGGGGCCGCATGACGACCCTCTCGTTATTGAATGTAAAGTGGCCAACCAGAGAGTTGGTCGAATCCTCATAGATACTGGGAGCTCTTCAGATCTCATCAGCAGCAAATGTCTGTCAAAACTGAAATATCA